GTTTTTGTATATTAATTTTATATCTGATGAGCTTACTAAATTCACATATAATTTGTGTGATTTCTTTGGAAATGTTCTTTAAAGATAATCATTTCATCTGTAGAAAGTTTTACTTTTATTCCTTTCCAGTGCTTATACTACTTATTGATCAGTTGGTTGATGGAGTATCTTATTAGCTTAGCAAAGGCATCCATCACAACTTGAATAGGGGAGGAAAAAACAGATATCTTTGCTTTGTTCCTAGTCTTTGGGGGAAAGCATTCAATGTATTACTATTATAAATATTTTCTCAAAATCTTTGCCTTTTTTTTTCTTCTTCCGCTTCTTCTTCCTCCTTCCCCTCCTCCTCCTCTTCCTCCGCCTCCTTTTTTTTTTAATCTTTTTTTTTAATTAATTTATTTATTTATGTGTGTGTGTGTGTGTGTGTGTGTGGCCAGCTCAGCCCACCAGGGGGCGGGGCTGGCTGGCATGTGGTGCTGGGGGATTGATCTGCGGTCCCTGTGCTTTGATAAGCTTGTTCTAAGTAGGTGCTTTAGACCACTGAACCATCTCACCAGCCCATCCTCCTTTTTTTTTTTTCTTCTTTCTTATTCTTATTCTTATTCTTATTCTTATTCTTATTCTTATTCTTATTCTTATTCTTACTAATGCAGGGTTTCACTCTGTAGTGCAGGCTGGCCTCCTGCCTCCTGCCTCTGCCTCCTGATTGTGGTGATTACAGATGTGTGTCACTGTGCCTGGCCTTCCTGTTTTTAAAGTATGCCATTTTTATTCATTTTCAAATTCACATAAACTACTTCACTTTTTTTTTCTTTCTTTCTTTTTCTCTGATGAGGATTGAACCCAAAGACTCAGGCATGCTAGACAACCACTCAGCACCATGTTTTTGTTTTAGTTTGGTGGGGTTTGACAAGCCAATAGTTTTGAGGCTGCCACAATATAGATTTTCAAAGACAGTTCCATTGCCCTTAAAAATCCCACGACTGCCACTTTGTAGCCAATCCCTCCCCACCTTCAATTTCTGGCAACCGGTGTGTTGTGCTTCATTGTAGATTTACCTTTGCCAGAATGTTGCATAGATGGAATTATACATTGCCCCCCCCCCCCATTTTGCTTTTTGTTTTTGAGATAGGGCCTTACTATGTAGCCCAGGTTGACCTCAGACTCGCAGCTATCTTCCTAATTGTGCTGGGATTATAGGTGTGTGCCTTGCTGCCTTTTATAAATTTTAAGTAAGTGATTAGATTATAAACTTGAATGTATATAAGTAACAAAATATAATGTAAATGTCCTACGGTTTTTACATAACTGTGAGACAATCATGCAATGCTAATAAAACTAAAGAGCCAATTCATTTTAAATGAACAGTGTAGATTATATTAGAGGGATGTGAACTGCGACTCACTGCCAGTGTTGGGTTGATAAATAGCTATATCTCCAGCCCAGCTTCATTCACTTGAACTCACTAATGATGTGTGTGGCTGGTTGGCTGATTTTGTGTAATCAGACCTAACATTTAGGTTCAAATTACCAGTGAGAATTTCCCAAATGTCTGTTTGTACAAAGAATTGCTTGATATCTCAAAAACTATCCTGTTTGATAAGAGCAGAATGGTAGTGTTTTTGAAATTAGCATGTATTGGCTGTTAAACCCACCTACTATGGGAGTTAGGAGTTTGGAATAAACAGAGATAGCTTTGCTTAGTTGAAGTAGATGCTCTCAGTGGTCCAAGATGCCATGATGTGCAACATAGCCTTTTGAGTATGACCTTTTCCATAATCATGCAGTTCGAAGTAATCCATAATGTATGTATTGATGAATATTCATTCCTTTTACGTATTGTTGAGTAGTCGGATGTATCACTGTTTTTGTTTTTGTTTTATGTATTTGGTACATGGTCTCACTACACAGCTTGGACTCATAGTGATTCTCCAGTTTTCAGCCTCCCTGGCACTGGGATTACAGGTGTGTGCCACCACGCCCAGACTTGTAACACTGTTTATTAACTCACCAGTTGAAAGACAGATTATTTCTGATTTCTGGTGATTATGAAGAAAGTTGCTATAACTTTTTTTTTGCGGGGGGGCTAGCTTAGAATGCCTTCAGGGCAGGTTTGGCTGGCTTGAGTTCTGGGGATTGAACCACAGCAACCTGACCCTGACTGCTTTGTTGAAGCAGCCACTTGAACTGAGCTAAGGGGAAGGCCCCCAACATTTTTGTACAAGTTTTTGGGTGAACATAAGTTTCATTTCTTTGGTAGATACCCAGAATATTTATTTATTTATTTATTTATTTATTAAGTTTGAACTTTTTATTTATTTATTTATTTATTTATTTATTTATTTATTAAGTTTGAACTTTTTATTTATTTATTTATTTATTTAGTGTGTGTGTGGCCAGCTCAGCCCACCAGGGGGCGGGGCTGGCTGGCACATGGTGCTGGGGGATTGAACCGAGGTCCCTGTGCTTTGTTTGGCTTAGCTTGTTCTAAGCAGGTGCTTTAGACCACTGAGCCATCTCACCAGCCCCAGAATCTTTTTTTAAATGATGAACTTATTAGATATTATTGAACACACAGTCATGGGTTTCTGAAATCCAAAGACTTATAAGGTACAGTTGTGTACAACAGCCATGTCAGGTGAGTAGCTATTGCCCACCTCTTTTTTGTGGTACTAGGGATTGAACCCAGGATCTGGACTCTAATCTATATCCCCAGATTTTCTAAAAAAATTTTATTTTGAAAAAAAAGTTTATTTTGAGACAGGGTGTCTCTAGTCACTACATAGCTCAGGCTGGGCTTGAACTTGTGAGTTTCTTTTCTAAGCCTCAGAGAATGCTGGGATTACAGGAACTGACTATCTCATCTGGCTGAAATGAGTTTTTTAAAAGTAAGTAAGCTGGCTGGAGATGTTGATCGGTTATACCTAGTAGTTTCACTGTAGGCCATATGATTAGTGTATGTTTGGCTTTATGAGAAGCTGTTCAACTGTTCTGTGCAGTTCCCTTTCTCTTTCTGAGTCCCTATCTGTTCTTATTTTCCTTAATTTTTCTGCTCTGTTATTGGTATTTGATATTTTCAGATTTTAATTTTAGCTACTTTGGTAATGTGTAGAAATCTCATTGTCATTATAATTTTTATTCCCTGGGGACCATGATACTGAACAGAATGTTTTCTTGTGCAGATAAGCTATCTTTGTTTCTTTTGAAGAGCAGCAGATTTTACATTTTTTAAATTTTCTGTAGTTGGTACAGGGTCTCACTATGCAGCTTGGACTTGTAGTGATCTTCCTGTTTCAGCCTCCTCAGCAATGGAATTGTAGGCATGCACCACCCCGATCTGGTCTTGGTGGCTGTGTAGCACACCTAGGGTGGGGCCAGCTTTGCATGTGGTATCACAGATTGTGGTGCCAAGGATTGAACCCAGGTCCTTGTGATTTGCCTAGGCAGGTGCTTAGACTGCTGAGCTATCTCTGCAGCCCCAAGATTTTACTTTTTTTTTTCTTTTCAAAGTTTTATTGATAAACATATAGCAATGAGACAGTTTCAAATCAAATCGAAAGTACAGTTTCAACAAATAATACACTGC